GCTAACGATGCCCAAAACGGCCGGCGCCTCGAAGCAAACCCCAAAGCGGCCGGCGCCTCGAAGCCAGGCCGGGGCGGCGCCTCCCCGCTGCCGCCGGCGGCCTCCCGCGGGGTCGGGCCTCGGGCCCCCAAAGGGCCGCCGGAGGAGGAGGAGGAGGAGGAGGAGGAGGAGGAGGAGGATGTGGGCCTCGGCCCTGGAGGTGCTGCGGGCTTGCGCCGCGTCCGCCGACCCCTCGACCGTAACTCACCACCCACCAAACCACCCCAACCCAACCCGAAGGCTCAGATTTGCCCTCGATCTCCAGTAGGGGGGGGGGGGTCGGGGAACGTCGAAAAAACACATATGGAACCCTTACCCCCCCCACCCGAAATTCGGGTCTTCGGGTTGGGTTGGGGTGGTCTGGTAGGTAGTCAGTAACTTGATCCCCCGGCTCTTTTCGGCACGTCCGCGAAGGTCTGGACTGTCCGCTGCGGGCTTGCGCCCCGTCCGCCGACCCCTCGACTGTAATTTGATTCCCCGGGCCTCGGGGCGGCGTAGGCTTCAGCCCTGGAGATGCTGCGGGCTTGCGCCGCGTCCGCCGACCCCTCGACCGTAACTGGGAGCCGGCGGTAAACCGTCAACCAGGTTGCCGCCGGGACCCTCGTAGAGCTCTTAACACGCGAATGAGTGCTTAGGCTATGAGGAGAAAGCTTCCTCGAAACTCAGCATAAAAACTCGCAAACATGTATTTTTTGGGGTTTTATAAGAATTCGATCCCCGGGGTCTTTTCGGCACGTCCGCGGAGTTCTGGCGTCCCGAAACGGTGCGGTGACAGACCGTGCGGTGACCTCGAATTCCCCCCACGACCTCCGCACGGTCCGTCACCGCACGGTTCTGGGACTTCGGAGGCCCCAGTCGCAGGAGACGTCCTCGGAGAGGGACCTGAGTCCCAAAACCGTGCGGTGACCCCGAATCCCCACCGACTCACCGCACGGTGTGGTCACCACCCCGTTTGGGGACCCCCTAGAAGTCCTTTGTGTGTGTGTGAGTCGGATGCGTCTTCGTTTTGTATTCGATGGGGTCAGCGGCAGGTCTTCTCAGGGTTCCCGGTGCTCTCTGGAGTTCTTGCTAGAACCGCCGCGGGAAAATGAACCAATCGTGCCCCTCGGAGCCATCATGGAACACCTCGTGGAGGCTTCTTGGACGACCCTTGAGGCGTCTTGGGGCGTCTGGGGCCCTGCGGGGGGGACCTCTTTGGAGCATCTTGGGGGCCTCGTCGGGCTTCCTGGGGGCCTCTTGGGGGCCTTTTTGGGCCTCCCGGGGAGCTCTCGAAAGCGGAGGCTCGAAATGTGCGTTTGGATCCACCGTCCGGGCTCCCTCTCGAAGGCGTCTTGGGAGCCACTTGGGCCGTCTTGGAGACCTCTTGGGACATTTTCGGGCCCTCTTGCGACGTGCTGAGGCCCTCTTGGAAACTTTGTGGGCCGTTGTGGATCGATCTTGTGGGGTCCCGGGGGGGATCTCACACGCCCAGCGACCCACAAGGGGTCGGCGGATGTCGGCTCGGGGTGGCCGGCCTCAGCCCTGGAGACGGGGAGCCAGGGCCTCCTGCGGGGACCGCGCGTCGAGTGCGATGCTTGCTCCTGGGAGATGTGGCAGGCGACATTGGCATCAGCTCTTCCTGCAATCGGGCAGCATCTGGACCGCATGCTGCCCTTGCTGGTGCCCCTCCTCGCCCCTTTGTGTTCGTCTCCTCCTCGTTCTTCTCGTCTCCCCCGGGAATGGGCGAGCATGTTCCAAGTCCGATTCCACACGTGCTCGAACTCCGTTCCAAATCAGGCCCAAATCGGACAGCGCCGGGGGCCACGTAGGCTCCCATGGAACGGACCAGACACTGAGCAAATGAAGGCATCGCGTGCTCGTCCTCCACCCTCTTTCTCCTGGGAGCCGGCTGGGCGTCTAAGGCTGCCCAGCGCCGGTTCCGGCGAGCAGGGAGGAAGTACAGTGAGCTCGCAGAGGGCACCCTTGCGTCCTTGCCTCCTCGGTGGATCTGTGGCCACTCTCGTTTGTCGCGCGCCCCGCTCGAAAGCTTCGAAATGGGCTTCCAAGGGCCTTGCATCCTTATCGCGCATCCTTACTCTACGGGTTGACTGTAGCGGGCGATGTCCGAGGGTCCAGATTTGCCTTTTTTGGGGTCTCTGTGGGCCGTTTTCGGGACCTGGACCGTCAGAAAAGTGTCCAGGGTGAGCAACTTGGACCCCTGGACGGGTCCGGGGACTGATCTTCTCGGGGCCCATCCAGGTTCAGATCCCGAGGCGAAAGGACAGGAGGAGGAGGAGGTTATGGTGGGGGAAGGACATGCGAAGGAGGAGGAGGAAGACGCGGCGGGAAGAGCAGGAGGAGTAGTGAGGAGGGGGGGAGGAGGGAGGATATCTCGATGAGGAAGAGCTGGAGGAGATGCTATAGTAGGATCATAACAAAAAGGCATAGGGAGGTGGGTCCAGGGAGCGGAGTGTTCGTTATTAGGAATGGTTTTAGAGTGGCAAGCGGGAGAGGTTCCACCGAGGTCTGGTAGTTACAATTCGAAGATCCTGGCTTATGGCCAACAGGCCATCCAAAAGCAGACACCAGGCGAGTTGCCCTGATCAGGGATGCGCAGCGGCACGCTGTTGGACACTGAACCCCCACCTCCGTATTCGACCCTTTCCTCCGCCTCCTCGTCCTTCTTCGTCTGCCCTGGGACTGCGTGTACTTTGCGGTTGCTTGTGGCTGCCATGGGTGAGTGGTTGCATGTCGTTGCTCCTTGTGCGCGCGTTGCTTGGCGCGCACGTTGTTCCGCGCTTGCGGTTTCTTGTGGTCGTCTTGATTGAGGGGTTGCCTGTCGTATCTCGCGGTGCGTGTAGTACATCCCGCGTGCGTGAGTGCATGGGCTTCGTGGTTTTATGCGGCAAGCTTGGTTGAGTGGTTGCCAAGACGTCTTCGAGATGGCTCCAAGAGGCTTGACGACGACTACGACGACGACGACGACGACGACGACGACTGGGAGCGTCTTGGAGGCCTCTTGGAGTGTTTGCTGGGTCCTCTTGGCAATCTTGGAGGCCTCTTGGGCCCTTTGGGGCTCTCTTGGGGCCCGCTGGGGCTTCTTTTGAGGCCCTCTTGGAGGACTTGGTCTACTTTTCGGGGACATCTTGGAGGCAATCAAGTAAAACATACAGCAGCGTACATTGAGGTACCCCAGTCTGGGCCCGAAGCATGGCCTCTGGGGCCCTCTTGGGCCGCTCTTGGTGCGGTCTTGGGCGCTCTTGAGGCCGTCTTGGGCCCTCCTGGGCCCCTCTTAGGGCCGTCGTGGTCCATCTTGGGGCCATCTTAGAGCCATATTGAGGCCTCAAGCGCCCATCGGAAGAGAAAAGGGGAGAAGGCAAAGCACATGGACAAACAATGTGGTGTTAAAGGATTTTGGCTTTCTGGGGGCCCCCTTGGGGGGCTCGGAGTGCACTTGGGGCCGTCCGGGGGCGATCTTGATGGTTTTTGGAGACACATGGGAGGCTATCTTGGATCATCTTGGAATATCTTGATCGATCTTGGAGGCCATCTCGGGCTCTCTGAGGACTTCTTGGAGTCATCTGGGGCCAATAAAGACCCTCTGACACCTCGCGAGGGGTTCCGGACCCAGGGGTAAGGGAAAGTGCGAGGGGCCGCGAGGGGGACCCCCCTCCCCGAAGGGCAAGAGGGGGGTTGGCAGAACGAAGCATTAAGCCCACGTTCTAGAGCCCTTCATGCTCTTGCACTGCCACCGCGACGCGTCGTGCTCTTATCCTTGAGAGGGACCGGTCTGCAGCCTTTGCACCATCTACGCTCGATCTACTCCATCGAAGCATGTGATGATCTGTATCGGTGAGTGCCTGGGCTGCTCGAGTTGTGCTAGAAGCTAAGTGCGACCTCTTCGCGCGCACGGCGGTCCTTGTGAACAGTGGAAACCCATGCCAAGAAACACCTTGCCTGCCTCCAAGATGCCTTGTGTTTCTTGGGTTTCGATGGTTTTGCTATGGAAAGCGTGACGTTCCCACATCAAAGATCAATGAACGTCCTGGGGTCTCAGGGTTGGGTTTCTTGTGGAAGGTTTCTTGTGGTCGGTTCCCCATTTTACGAATCGTCACGGCGGAAGGTTGCTGGCCGTTTTCGGCCTCCAGGGGGACCTTCCCCGGGACCCGGGGCCGTCAGCCATAAGTTTGGGATGCAATTCCTGGGAGGTCAAATTCTGATTTTGCACTGGTCCGAAGTCCGGCTTAATCCCACTGAATCCCGCTCAATCCCGCTTACCCGCTGAATCCCCCTTAATCCGAGGCCTTCTCCGGCGTAACAGCTCCCAAATGGGCCTTAGTCCTCCTTGATCTTTCCGACGAAAGCCTCCCAGCAGTTGCCTCCTAAACAAGTGATGTGCTCGGGGCCATTCGCCCGTTCCCTGGTGGGAGTGGCCAGGGCCTCCCGTGGGGGTCGACGCTGTTGCTCTTGGATGCGCACGAGGACGTCGGACGCACGAGGCAGGAGGGGGCAGCCTTCGGTCGGGCATGCCCTCCCAGAGTCGGGTCGGGCGAAAGGGGGGGATAGCAAAAGGGGGGGGTGAGAATCAGCTCGCGTAGCTGACTTTCCCGGCGCCTCCCGGCGCCAGAGGCGGCCATGCATCGAGGAATGGGCCCCTCGGTGGGGCCGAAACCAGCTGCATGCAGCAAATTTCGTAACCCCCCCTTTCCCAATCCCCCCCTTTCGCCCGGCCCGACAGAGGCGGATTTTGGACGAAAAACAAGCAATACCCAAAAACAAATTCAACATGTTCAAACATACAGTCGGGCGTGTCCCCCCACAGGGGATTCTGGGCTGAAGATAGATAGTACTAAAAGCATACCCCCCAATGGGCAAAAATAGTAAAAGAATCGTCCCCAGACTATATGTAACTATTTTTTGAATAGTCCTCCTGTAGAGGGACATGCCCGACTTCAGGGCAGCCGTGGGCACGGCCCGACAAGGGGGGTGCAGCTGGCAGCGCCCAGCGCGGGAAGGCTGAGGCTGTCTCCGTGGAGGGCGTCGAGGAGCCCGGGCCGCTGCGCTACGCACTCCCCGTCACATGCTTCTCTCGGGGTTGTTGGGCGCCCCCCTTCCCTCCACTCCGCCCTCTCTCGTCATTAGTTGTCTCGTCTCTTCTCCTCGCTCCCTCCCTGCTCCTGCGCACCTGTCCATCGCCCCTCTTCCTTCCTCCGCCCACGTCTCGTCTCGTTTCTTTCTTTCTCTCTCTCTCTCTCTCCTCATTCCTCCCTTTCTATCCTCCCTCCATGCCTCGAGCCGCCCCTCTTTCTGTGTTCTCCCCTCTCCCTCCGCCTTCCCCCCTCCCGCCTCACTCGTCCTTCACCTCCGCGTCCTCCGCATCCCTTATCTCCCATCTCCCCCTCATCTGCCGCCGCCCTTGTGTCCTCCGCATCTCCTCCCCTCGCCCTCCTCCGCACCCCCTCCGAGTCCTCGTCGTCCGCCACTGCTGACCCCCCAGGCCGCTTCCCCCGCCCCCCTCCGTTCTCGAGCGCCAAGCTGAAGCGACACCTCTTCCAGCCGTGCGCCGTACCGCAGTGCCTCTCTCTGTCGATCTGCTCGTCCTGAGGAGGAAGAGGGGGAGGAGGAGGAGGAGGAGGAGGAGGAGGAGGAGGAGGAGGAAATTCAGGGTGTCGTGGGACGCCACACCCGAAGCCTTGGCCCTTCACGCGCATCGCCCGTACTCGGGGCCTCGGCGCGGCACCTCCCGCACACGCACACTCGGTTCGGCGCCGTGCTGCGGCGCCGGCCGCTCCTCCTTCTTCCCTATCCGCCCCCCTCGGAGGAGGAGGAGGAAGAGGAGGAGAAGGAGGAGGAGGGGGAGTAGGAGGAGGAGGAGAAGGAGGAAGAGCAGGAGGACGAGGAGGAGGAGGAGGAGGAGGAGGAGGAGGAGGAGGAGGAGAGGACGGGGGATGAGGGGGGGAGGGGAAGGAGGAGGAGGAGGAGGAGGAGGAGGAGGAGGAGGAGGAGGAGGAGCGGAGGAGGAGGAGGAGGAGGAGGAGTCCCTCCTGCCGCCCGGGTTCGGTCCTCCGCTCCCTCCCCCACCCTCCCTGCTTCCTTGCTCCCCCGCGTCCTCCTCGTCGTCTCCCTCCCCTCTCGGACTCTCCTCCTCCGCCCTCCCGCCGCTGGCGGGTGGGCGAGGGCCACAGCCTCGTTGGAGGGAGCCGGAGGTCCGCGGTCCTGAGTCCTGAGGAGGCTCGGGGGGAGGAGGAGGAACAGAAAAAGGTCGAGGCGGAGGATAAACAAAAAAGGAGGCGGAGGAGAAGAGGAGGAGGAGGAGGAGGAAGAGAGAAGGAGGAGGAGGAGGAGGGGGAGGAGAAGGGGGGGGAAGGGGGAGGGGGAGGGGGCGGGGGAGGAGGGGGGGGGAGGGGGGGGGGGGAGGGGCAGGGGGAGGAGGAAGAGGAGGAGGAGGGGGAGGAGGAGGAGGAGGAGGAGGAGGAGGAGGAGGAGGAGGAGGAGGATCCAACTCCCCCTTGCCTCCTCAAGATCGGTGCCTCCCAGAGGGTGCGGTGACCACACATGGGAGTGTCGTGATGCTGGCGCATATTCCCAAACACTGCTTGCACTTGTGATAGTTTTTTATTCATTGTTTTGCCTATCGGGGCGGGCCCTCGCACCCCCCCCGCATGTCGTAGATCTTGGCTGCTTTGGGGCGCCTGTTCCGAGGTGCAGTCTCCCCCACAATAGACACACTGTTGCAAACGGTCGCGCTAAGCTGAGGTCCAGAGCCAGACCCCCCCCTCCCCCCCTCTTCACTCAATGTCGAAACGCCGAGTAAGAGAACGCTCACCAGGGGTTCTTGCTTCCTCTCCTCGAGCTGTCGGACGAGGAGGACGAGGAGGAGGAGAACGAGAACGAGGACAAGGAGGACGAGGAGGAGGAGGAGGAGGAGAAGTTGGAGGAGGAGGAGGAGAAGTTGGAGGAGGAGGAGGAGGAGAAGCTGGAGGGACTCTTGCTTTCTCTCCTCGAGTTGTTGGGCGCCCCGCGCACCCCCGGCGGGTCCGCCGAGCTGGCGCGCCGCGCGGCCGCCCGCGTGGCCGCGTCGTGGTCGTGTCGTAGGCGCCCCGTGCGCCGAGCCGGCTCCGCACACCTTGGAGCAAGCAAGCAAGCAAGCAAGCTTTGGCTCCGCGGCTGTGCCTGTGCTCCTCCTCCTCCTCCTCCTCCTCCTCCTCCTGGGGGTGGCGCCGCGCGGGGCGTCCGTCGTGGGGCATTCATCAAGGGATGCGGGCAAAACTTCTGTCTATATCCACTGCAGTATGGAGTTTCGGGCTCCCTTCCCAAGAAGTCCGAGGCGCACTGGATGTGGATGCCCTGCCCCCGAGAGGCTCGGTGTTTATCCATATCCAGTGCGCCTCGGCCTTGTGTGGCGCCGCTTCCCAAAAAATCCAAGTGGCACTGGACATGGATATGAATATTGCCCGCAAGGGAGGGCAAACCACCCTGACCCGACAATCGGCGTTTGCTAAACGAACCCCGGGCGTTTACTGATCGGCCCTCGGCGTTTACTGAACAACCCTGCCCTGGTTGATTCCTTCTCTGGGTGCGTTTACTAAACGGCTTCGCGTGTCGGGGTGATTATTAGGGGGGGATTGTCTGCCTTCTAATTAAGTCGGACGCGTCCCTCTACAGGAGGAAGATTTCAAACTAGTAAAAAATAGTCTGGGGACGATTGGCTTATAGTATGTTTGGCTATTTTTGAGCATGCTTGGCTTCGTTTTGGTTGTTGTTTTCAATTGTTTCGCCAAACATCCTCCTGTAGGTGGACATGCCCGGCCTAATCGTAGGCGCCCCGTGCGCTGTGCTAACGTCGTACACCACGGAGCTTGCACCACATAGTTTACACCCCACGCAAGTTGCACCACATAGCTTACGCAGCGTAGCTTTCACCTCCATGGTTCACATCACGTACCTTACACGACACTGCACCTAATTGCATGGCGTAGCGTTCACCTCCGCAGTGTACTGGCTTACTATTTGGGATCCACGCTGGCTAAGATTGATACAGCCGGGCCGAGGTACAAGATCGAGGTCGGCTCGGGGAGGGTACCCTCGTGTTCTTCGTGCCTGTTGGATGTGACTGTGCGCCCTGAGGAGGGTACCCCTGGATGCTCCGTGTGCTCTGGCTGGCGGAGGGTCTCGTGTTCTTGAGGGATGCTCTTCTGGCCAGGGTCCGACTGTACATCCTGTGTTGGCCTCTCGAGGCTTCTGAGGGCCACTTGGACGACGAGAGCGAGATGGAGGAGTGTGGGGGCGAGGATCGCCTCCCCGGCGCCGCGTCTTGGGGCCTCTGGAGGTCTCTGCGGGGATGTCGGCATACATCCGCAGGCTTCTGTACGGTAGGTTCGCGTCGTGTCGACCGGCGGCGACCCCAGCGCGGGCGTTCAAGGTTGAACGCCGCTGGCGACCCAGAATCGATCGATGTTGAACGATCGGACGTTGCGGAGACGGCCGATCGTTCAGGGTCGAACGATCCAGCGCGGTGTCAGGGACCAACGCCAGGGTCGACACGGCACGGACCTGCCGTAGGTGGGGGAGGATGGGTGGGTGGGGGGGGGACAGGGAGACTGAGCTCTCCACTCCTCGAGCAGTGGATCGACTACAGAATTTGTTCACCCCACATTGTTTTGCTCGTGATGATGCGGCTTAGGGGGTTTGGATTCGGCAAGGAGAGAGCAAGTTTCGGGTAAGTCCGTTCTGTAGTCGACCCCCTACTCGAACGCCTGAGCCCGCCTCTACAGCCACCCTCCAGGCCAAGGGAGATGCCCGGTGCCCAGGAGGATCTCCGCCTGCAGGCGAAGAGGATGCAGCTGGACCTACTTCGGCGAGCGCGGGGGCAGTGGGTGCGCTAGCCTTGAGATCCTGGCGTCTCAATCTTTTCGAGCTGGGCGTTTTCGCCCAGATTCGTGCCCCAGGACCCTCACAGATCGATCGGGCTTGAAAAAGGGTCTAGGGCTCTGGTCGTGATTTTTGGCCACGTTTTACATTTCTCGAGACGTTGGATCTCAGGGAAGCCGGGAAGTAGCAGCAGCTGAGGCATTCTGGCATTCTTTGGCCCTTGTAGTGTGGAGGCCTCGCGGCCTTACATTGTGAATGCCTTTGTTTTTGTTGGGGTTCTTCACCGCCGGCGTAAGGAATCCAGGTGCAATCCGTCCACAATGAGGACTCTGTTGCACCCCACAGAAGAATCCTTGAGCGGGTTCTCTGCATGAGAAGGGGGATGACGAAGAGGTATCTCTCGGAGGACGATTGAGAGTGAGGAAATTGAGGACGGCGGAAAAAAGGACGACTAGACGAAGGAGGAGGGCGACGACGACGAGGAATCGCAAAACGGCTCACGAGGTAGATCTTGGGGGGTCCAGCCGATGCGTTGTATTAGAGCATGTTAGTTTGATGATGAGAGGTCGTGTCATGGTGGACGGTATAGGTCGACATGCACAGCGTTCGCACATGCTGTCTGAACAGTTGCGTTCGACATACTGGCTGACTAGTTCTACTCGAGCAAGACTTTTGTAAAATAGTTCTGACTCCTTTTGCTCAAGGGAGGAAAAGCCACCCAGACTGGACAATTGGCGTTTCCTGAACGGCGAGGGGCGTTGACTAAACGGCCCTGTCCTGTTACGATTCCTTCTTTAGGCGCTCTTGCTACACGGCCTCGCTGGTTGGGGTGGTTATCATGGGGGTGGATGTTTCGCCTTCATTCACGGCTAAGGATCCGACCCGCTCTGGCCTCCTCAAAAATGTCGGCCACGCCGAGCGCCGCCGCCGCCGCGCGGGCGGCTGCAGCGAGGGGCGGCCGCACCCCGCTTGGGGCGGTGCCCCGGATTCGATGCCAGATCTGCGCGGCGCCGCCCCCGCCCACCCCCCCGAGGCGGGAATTTATCCATATTCACGCCTGGAGGGTCAGTTTTCGGAGCTTCGGCAGGCGGTGGATATGGACATATTCGGGCCCCCGGGGGCCGAAATATATCCATATCCACCGCCCGCTGGGGCACCAGCACGTCGGTTCCCAGGTGGTGGATATGGATAAATCTCCGCCTCGCACACACCCCCTCTCCTCCCCCCCACTCCTCCTGTATAACTTTGTTATCGAAGAAGAAAAAACCCGCATAAACATAAACTTTTGGCACTCTTCGCGGATTTCCTGGATCCGCGCCTGGGCCCCCTGGCGACGCTTCCGGCGCCGCCCCTGGCGCAGTCCGCGCGCCAGGGAGGGGGGTCCAGCGCGAATCCAAGAAATCCGCGCGGAGCGCCAAAAGTTTGTGTTTATGTGGTTTTGTTTGTTCTTTTTCTTCTTCTTCTTCTTCTGCTTCTTCTTCTTCTACTACTACTACTACTACTCCTACTACTACTACTACTACTACTACTACTACTACTACTACTACTACTACTACTACTACTACTACTACTACAACCCCAAACGGGGTGGCGCGCCCGCGCTCATGAAAACCAGGGCCCGCGGTGCCTGCGCCAGCGTCAGGATGCCCTGGGGGGGGGCCTGGACCTTACTCTGCGACATGCCTGCGGTGCCTGCGCTTCGCCACGCGCGACGCCCGCGCCGACAGCAACCGCTGCCCGCGGTGCCTGCGCAAACCTCGCGTTGCACGGGCGATGCCTGCGGCCTATTATTTGACGTGCTCGCGCCTGCGCCAACTTCGACATGCCCGTGGGGGTGCCTGCGCCCTTTTATTGAATCGCTTCGCTCATTCCGCCAGCCCACATTGCCTCGCCGCTGGGGGGCCGTGTTGGGTCCTCTTGGGGGCCTCTGGGACGCAGTTTTGAGGCCTCTTCGGCGCCGTGTTGGAGCCTCTTGGCTGGGGCTTCTCGGGCGCCTCTTGGAGTGTCTTGGGGTGCTTGCGCCCTTTCGTTCGACGCGCCAGCGGCGCCTGCGCCTCGCCTCGCCATGCGCGGCGCCTGCGCCGACAAAAACCCGCGCCTGCGGTGCTTGCGCCAACCGCGCGCTGCACGGGCGGTGCCTGCGCCCTGCTACATGACGCGCCCGCGGCGCCTGCGCCGCGCTGCGCGGGGCCGGCGCCGTCTTCGATGTACCCATTCGGGGCTCAAGAGACGGGGGTCAATGCAAGCGGGGGTCAGCTTCTCCCCCTCCCCCTCCTCCCCTCTCCTCTTTTCTCCCTCCTCCTCCTCCTCCTCCTCCTCGTCGCCATCCCTTCGTCGCCATCTCCCCCGGATGTGCGCCCGCTTCCAGCGCTCGGGGCCTAAGAGACGGGGGCCAATGCAAGCGGGGGTCAGCCAGAGCGCCCGATCTTGCAGGATCCTGCAGGGCCAGGGTCGCATTGACCCGGGCTTGGGCGCAGGATCCTACAGGATCTTGCAGGATTCTTCGCGTTGTGACCCGGGTCTGGGTGCAGGATCTTGCAGGATTCTGCAAGACCTGATTGACCCGGGGCTGGATTGACCCGGGTCAGAAGATCCCCGACCCATGGGTGTGCCAGCACCTTATTATTGAATCGCTTCGCTCATTCAGCCAGCCCATTTTGCATCATTGGTGATATATGTTTGTGTGTTCGTGGCGGGCGAAGAGGATGAGGAGGAGGAGGACGAGGAGGAGGGAGAGGGGGGAATGAGGATAAGGAGGAGGTGGAGGTTTCTGGCGAAACTGATTATGGACAAGGCGCCTCTTTGGGAGTTGCTTGGGGTCTTCTGGGAGGCTTCTCCAGTGCCTCGTGGCGGTGTGTTTGTAATATCCTAGGTGTCTCATGGGAGCCTCTTGGGGGGCTCTTGGGGCTTCTGGTGGGCCTCTTGATGATACAGATGATACTCGTGATGATGATGGTGCTGATGATGATGCTGATACTGGTGATGATGATGCTGAGGAGGCGGAGGATGAGGAGGAGGGTGATGATTATGATGTTTATGAACAGGATGATGATGATGGTTATGCTGCTGGTGATGAATATGCAGATAAAGATGATGCTGACGATGGTGACGATGATGATGATGATGATGATGATTATGATGATGATGATGCTGATGCTGATTATGAGGATGCTGATGATGATGATGATGATGATGATGATGATGATGATGATGATGATGATGATGATGATGGTAATGGTAATGATGATGATGATGATGATGGTGATGATGATGATGATGATGATCACGGGGATGATGATGATTAGGATGGTCATGATGATGATGATGATGATGGTGGTGGTGGTGATGATGATGATGATGATGATGATGATGATGATGATGATGATGATGATGATGGGGAGGAGGTGGAGACAGAGAAGGAATAATAGGAGTATGAGTAATTAGGACGAGAAGGACGATGAGGATCAGAAGGTGGAGGACGACCCATTTCCATGGATTGGAAGTTGAGAATATCAAACGCTTGCTGTGCATCCTGATTTCTTCGCGGCGCGAGGGGCGTCTGTCTTACTCTTCCTTCATGCCACTCAGGATGCGCGTTCTATGTCTGCTCACGGGAGCCTTGGGCGGCGACAATGAAATCAGCTTTTCCTACTTCGGGACTGCATTCGGCCCGTCTTGCCTGCTGCTCCTCGCCCTTCCTGTTCCTCCTCCACCTCCTTGCTGCTCCCTCGAGGAGAGCGGACAGTGGCTTCCATGTCCGTCACGATTTCCGCGGTTGGGACGAAGCTTCCCATGTCCAGAATCCTGAGTAATGAGGCTCGTGTAGAGAGAGAGAGAGAGAGAGCGAGAGAGAGAGAGGGAGAGAGAGAAGAAGAAGCCGAGCACGTCAAAGGTGCATTGGCAAGGCGGTGAAACAAGAACCACTGCCGGTTGCGCGGCCATGAAGCAGTGAGGCGCCGAGCAAAAAACGACAGGTACGGAATGGCGACAACATATCTTCGTGCGCCACCCACTCACCACCAAAAGTGCACACTACCAACCATTGCGTAAGTCGGGCACATCCCTCTACAGGAGGAATTGTTAAACATATTTGTTTTTTGAAAAACAGGGTATTTTTGCGCATGTTGTTGCATGTGTTTCGTGTGTTTCATTTTTCGCCCCAAATCCGCCTGTAGGAGGACATGCCCGACGTAAACCCAGGCTCGTGTAGCTGACTCAATTGGACTTCACGGGCTCGCCTCGTCGCGTCTCCTCGTTCTCCTCTCGTCTCCCATGTGAAAGGGGGCGAACCCAGTCCACATCCGGCCCCACACTGGTTTCAAAACTGGTCCGACGGGAGGCCCAAACCGGACAGCGCCAGGGGCCACGCAGGCTCCCATGGAACAGACGCCAATCGGGGGTTGCTAGAATCGAAGAAAAAAAAACGCCGTAAACAAACTGTTGGCGCTCCGCGCGGATTTCTTGGATCCGCGCTGGGCCCCCCCAGCGGCGCCTCCAGCGCCGCCACTGGCGCGCTCCGCGCGCCAGGGAGGGGGCCCAGCACAGATACAGGAAATCCGCGCATAGCGTCAACAATCTATGTTTATGGTATTTGTTCTTCTTCTATAGAAGTGCCCCTGGCCGAAGGTGCCCCCGGCCTTCGCTCCATTTTGGAGCGCCCGAGGCCCTCTGGGCCTCGTGAGGGGTGCTCTGGAACCCGTGGGGGCCTCCTTGGAAATCCTGGGGGCACCTTGGGCCAGGGGCACTTCTGGCAACACCCGAACCTAGACCCCCGACGTCATGATTTTTTCATTGCGTCGATCCCCAGAGTTCTCGACCCATTCCCCAGGACCGGTTTCTCATCCTGAGTCGTTTTGCTGACGGTCCCGAGGCCCGGTTAGGCTTTACAGAGGCCGAAATGATTACAAAAACCTCCCGTCATGATTTTGCCATTACCCGAGGGGGCCTGGGAACAAAAGGTCAGTGGGGCCTCTTCCCAGCGCTCTGGCCCCTGACCGGCCCCCGCGGTCGCAGGCGGCAGGTCCAGCAGCAGGCGCGCCAGAACGCCGAGCAGGACCACCGGGGCGGGAGGCGCAGGAAGCATGGGGCAGGGAGGGGGGAGGCAGAGCAGAGGGAGGGAGCTCCTCCCCCTCCTCCCCTCCTCCTCTTCCTCCTCCTCCTCCCCCTCCTCCTCCTCCTCCTGATCCCCCTCCTACTGCTCCTCCTCCTCAAGCTCCTCCTGCTTCTCCTCCTCCTCCTTCTCCTTCTCGTTCTCCTTTTCCTCCTCAGGCTCCTCTTCCTCCTCCTCCGCCTCTTCCTTCTCCTCCTCCTCCTCCTCCTCCTGCTCCTCGTCCTTCTCCTCCTCCTCCTCCTGCTCCTCCTCCTCCTCCTCCTCCTCCTCCTCCTCCCGTGGTTCTACTCAGCCGTGCGTGCGTCCTCCCGCCCAAGCTGGTGAGCTTCCGCAGAGTTCGACGAACAAACGCTAGCCAGCGTGAACCCAGAATAGTGGCTTCTAGCATGCTAGGTCGTGGTGCAAGCTCTGTGGTCTAGTAAGCTATGTGGTGCAAGCTATGTGATATAATACCTGTGTGATCTATGGGTTTGTAAGCTCTACAGTGCAATATGTGGTACAATACTTGTGTTGCGATACATGCTGTGCAAGCTATGTAGTGCAATACAGGCGGTGCAATCCATGCAGTGTAATACATGTGGTGTGAGCTATTTTGTGCAAGCTATGTGGTGCAAACTGTGTGGAGCCAACGTGCTCATCTAGGTTGTGTGAGCAATGTGGTGTAAGTGTGATGCAATATATGTGGTCCGATCTATGGGGTGTGAGCTATGTAGTGCAACCCCTGTGGTGCAGTCCATGTGGTGCGATCTCAGTGCCAGGCAACGCGATTGCAGTGCAATGCAGTGCGACTGTAATGCAATGCGGCGGCGACGGGCTGCGACGAGGCGGCGGGGACGGGCGGCGTCGAGCGGCGACGGGGCGGCGACGGGCGACGACAAGCCGGCCGGGGCGTCACATGAGCCCGCGACCGGGCGGCGACGATCAAGCAGTGGCGAAGCGTCTTGGCGTGCCTATAGGCCTACCAAACAACGTTCTAAGAACCTTTGGTGGTTTCCGCGGAATGTTCTTAGAACATGTCTGGCTTGTTTTAACACATCGGGCCAATGCTCTAAGAACATTGTTTTGAGAACATCTCAGGGTTCTAAGAACATTTCGTGGTAAGACTATAGGAATGCCGGGACGGTCGGTCCCTGCTCAACGGGGGGGCGCCGGGGCGGGATACAAGCCCAGTTCATTCAGCCTAAAGTTTACACCCCCAAGTGCAAGCACTGTTTGGGGAACAGCGGCATGCGCAGTCTGTTGGAGCTCTTCGGCTCGGCGGCGGCCCGTACTCAGGAGGGGAAAAAACACACAGACACAATTAATCGGCGATTCCCAGAAAATATGGGAAAATATGGGAAGTGGGGGGGAAGACAAAAACCCAGAAAATATGGGAAAATATGGGGGATGTGTTTATTTGTGTGTATTTATTTGTGTGTCCCAGTTCCCCTTCACGTACACCCCCGTGCATCCAGGAGCTCACACGGGATTTCCTGGATCGGCGTCGGGCCGCCCTTGGCGGCGCCTCGGGCGCCGCCACCGGCGCGCTCCGCGCTCCAGGTAGGGGGTCCAGGGCCGACCCCAGAGATTCGGGCGGAGCTCCGTATGCCGTTATTCAGAGCCCCGAATCATCAGGGGTAACTCGGGTCAGGGATAACTCGGGTTCCTTTTCCGGGAATCCAAGCCCGAGTTACCCCAGACCCACGTTGCCCCGGATACATCGGGCGTCCAGAGCCCCGAATCATCAGGGATAACTCGGGTCAGGGCTAACTCGGGTTCCTTTTCCGGGAATCCAAACCCGAGTTACCCCGGACCCGAGTTGCCCCGGATAACTCGGGCGTCCAGAGCCCCGAATCATCAGGGATAACTCGGGTCAGGGCTAACTCGGGTTCCTTTTCCGGGAATCCAAACCCGAGTTACCCCGGACCCGAGTTGCCCCGGATAACTCGGGCGTCCAGAGCCCCGAATCATCAGGGATATTCGGGTCAGGGCTAACTCGGGTTCCTTTTCTGGGAATCCAAACCCGAGTTACCCCGGACCCGAGTTACCCCGGATAACTCGGGCGTCCAGAGCCCCGAGTCATCAGGGGTAACTCGGGTCAGGGCTAACTCGGGTTCCTTTTCTGGGAATCCAAACCCGAGTTACCCCGGACCCGAGTTACCCTGGATAATTCGGGCGCCCAAGTTATATATTCACCTCGAAGATTGAAGTCTCGCCGGGCTGCTGCCCAAGCCACGATCTCTGTATTCCTTGTCGCAACGCTTTTCCTCGAAGCGTGTTCTTCACGCCAAGAGGGGCGGAGGAGGAGGGCATGGTGGTATTCAGAATGGAACGCCAAAGGACACTTTCGAGGCACGCGGGAGCGATTCCTCACTTCCAGAGTTGTGAAGCATCGATGGGTGTCACTGTAGTCCCCGCTTGTGGAGAACAGCTGCCGGGGTATAGCCAGCATCTCTATGCAGAGGCGTCAACGCAGTTGCAACTCGTGCAAATTAGGCCGAATGTAGGGCAGGGGCGGAGGGGCATTCAAACATTCCACAACGCTTGGTGCTTCCTGGGCGACGTTGCCAGTAAGACTGGTAGCGCCCGGCTCGTCCAGTGCAAACCGATCGTCCATGGTATTTGTTAACAGTAAGTCGGGCGTGCCCCTCTACAGGGGGAATATTCAACAATAAACGAAAAAGTACCTGGGGGGCGATTTTAAAAGTATTGTTTAACTATTATTCTTCGTATTTGGTTTGATTTTTTTCCTTCAAAATCTGCCTGTAGGAGGACACGCTCGACCTCATGTTTACATCGCAACCCAGCGCGGCCCGCGCGAAAAAACCGGAGCGCCCGCCCCTCAAGCCAAGTTAGAGCGGCGAGGGCCCATGGGCTAGCCGCAGTTCGTGTGGCCTACAGTGGACGCCCATGCAAAGAAACACCCTACTTGCCTCCAGGGTGCCCTGGATTTCTTGGGTTTCGATTGTTTTGCGATGGAAAGCGTGACTTCCCACGCCCAAAATCAATGAACGTCCTGGGGTCTCAGGCTTGGGTTTCCCGTGGGAGGTTTCTTGTGGTCGGGCCCCTACTGTAACCCTTCGGCGAACGCTTGGCAAGACCAAGCGCGTCGCCCCGCAAAACCGGGCGGGTCGGCTCGGGAAACCAAGCGCGTTTGTGCAGAAAGCCAGGGGCGTCCCCGTGAGAGCCAAGGCGCGACATTGCGCAGCCAGTTGCAAAGCAAGAGAGCTCTGCACGCCGGTCTTCTGAAAGTGGGCATTATCAGGATTCCCGGATCCCGCTCTACTTTGAGCGCCTTGCTACTTCAAGGGTCGAGTGGTCGTCCCTCCTCCCGCCTCTTCAGGGGGCGGGCGGAAGCCCAATCGACTTCCACGGCCTTCATACAGTCGGGCCGCTGAAAGAAGGAACGCTAAATAAGGAACGAAGCCCCTTTTTGGCCCTAAGAGCGCCTCCGTGCCCGAGGAGGGCGAGAGGGACAGCAATGGAGGAACCTGGGGAACATCGAGCCCCTTCCGAACCCAAACAGTTCCTTATTTCAGCGTCTTGATTGTACTTCATGTTTCTACCCAGTTCTTCAGACCGACGGGTCCAGTGTGTTCTTTCGCGTCGCGTTCTAAAGCCAGTCGCTACCACGTCGGGGCTCGCCGCCCAGCGTTTTTGTTGCCGTGCTACGTGGGTCTGGTTTTGGGCATTTCCCCCCACTTCAAGGCCGAATCCTGTTCGATCGATTTGATGTTGTGTCGGTTCAAGTTGGCTCGGTCCGATTCGATTCCGATGTGTCGTCGCGATGCGGCCCGACGTTTGCCTGGCGCTGTTGGGCATCTTCGCGCGGCCGGTCTGATTCGGTTTTGACTCCGTTTCGATGCCGCACATTCCGATTGGGTCCTGTTCACTGATCCGAGGTTGATTGATCTTGCCATAGTTGGTCTCTTGTACGCAGCTTGAGACGGGCACGCGCGTTTGCGCCGTTGTCTTTGCCGCGGACCTCTCCTGGTCGAGCCGCCTTTGTGCAGGAGCACCGGAACGCCGCCGCCATGGAAGAGATCGAGGCCAGTGGGAATCGGGAAGCAGGCTGTGCTGAGCGGCGTCCTCCTGCAATGCTAATTACTCAGGCCACTTGCCGTGGCGAAGAAAACATGACGGAAGGTGTTTGATCATTTTGAATTTCTGGGGGGCCCTTATAGGGCCCTGAGGCCGTGAAACACGGCTCTGGAAGTTGGTCCACAGGATGGGGTCTGGACATGTAGGGATCCACGTTGTGGAAGCACATCCAGTTTGTATGTAAAATGGTGTCGGCGCAATATTGAAGGCGCGCGAGTTTCACGCCACAATTGTCGTAGGTGTCCGCAGACGCTTAACATACCATCAGTGCCACGTGTTGTGGGGCTTAGACCTCTCCATACATTCATCGATCGGGATGGGATTGCAGTGTCCATACCCCTGGCGCGCAGGAAGGGGTCATTATTCGAGACGGGCGGAGGCGAATCGTTCTGTGCCTCTGCATAGCGCCTTGCCGTTGGTGCGATGCCCCCGTATTGCAGTGCCGGCGGTCCGCCCCCTGCCAGGCGCACCTGACGAAGCTCGACGACGAGACGGGCTCGTTGATGGCGCGCCGCTGCCCTCCGGCGTGCCCTGCAGGTCTGGCGAACGAGCACGAGCGGCGCGCTGCGCACAGAGCTGCGACACGCGCGATCCGCGGGCGCCCGTGCGGTCTCGGGCACGGGTTTCCAGCACGCGAGCTGAACAATGCTATTCGAGCAGTGGTGAGGCGTCCTGGCGTGCCTGCGGGCCTACCAAACAACGTTCTAAGAACCTTTGGTGGTTTCCGCGGAATGTTCTTAGCACATTTCTGGCTGGGACTGTCTTGTTTTAGCACATCGGGCTCATGTTCTAAGAACACTGTGTTTGTTCTTGGAACATCGTTGGGTTCTGAGAACATTTCATGGTAGGCCTATAAGAATGCCGGGACGGTCGGTCCCTGCTCAAGTTTTGGCGATTTCATGGACGTTTTCGTTTTTTATTCAGTGTTTTGTCGATCGGCGCGGGCCCTCGCTCCCCCCACCCATGGAGTAGATCTAGGCTGTTTGTGGCGCCCGTTTCAGTCAGGTGGAGTCTCTTCCGCAGGACGCACTGTTGCAGACAGTCGCACGAAGCAGAGGTCCAGAGCCAGACCCCTCCCCCCCTTCTACCCAATGTCGAGACGCCGAATAAGAAAACGTTCACGATCGGTTTCGTTTTGACGTTCGTTTTTCAGAAGTGGAGCAGCGACGACAGAACGAGGGATGCGAAACCGAAGCGAGAGGGGAAACCACTGTGCATCTTGCGACATGCGTGTGTCTTGATGCCTTCAGTTTCGGGAGCCACGCCAGGAGCCTCACAGACCAATCTGGCTCGAAAGATGCTGGTCATAGATTTGCACGGTGTTGCAAATTTTCGCGTCGTCGGATTTGAGGGGGCCTTGCGATACCTGGCATTGCAGGGCTCGCGCGCGCTTTGTGGCAGTCCCTCGTTGCTCGGGCCACTCCAGCTCCCTTCTGTCCAGAGGGCCCCAGGAGGATAAAGAGGATCAGACGCCCAGCAGCCTTGATCATCCGCGATTCTGGATCCTTCTCATTGCCCTTCTCCCTTCTCCCCCCCCCGCGGGAGAGTAATGAGAAGAAGGAAAGCCCAGCAGCAACGATTAATGTCTGGAGTGATGATAGCTGAAGTGACATATGCGAGAATGATGTTTGTGGTTGTTGCCCCGAACCTTGGGAGACTGACGCGCCGCGCGAACAACAGCCTGAGCCATGGCGACCGCGGAAGAGAGCGGGGCTGTAGGTAGGCAGGTGAACGACGCACGAGTCTCAACGCGGTGGGCAGGTGGACGGCGCACGCCGCGGTGAAGGACCACCCCCTGCGCATCTCCTATGGTCTCGAGAAAGTGCCACGCCTGCTGTGCATGGGCGACTGGGGCGTATACACACCGCGGTGAGGGACCACCCCGTGCGTATCCCCTACGGTGCCGAGAAAGTACCACGCC